TTGGAATAAAAAGGAAAAAAGAAAAAGTCAGTGTTTTATGTCTGGTTGAGGTCAAACGTCCCCCGGTCTACCCGCGGGCATTGTCGGTTTACGTGGCCTCCAAGGAAGCATTCACCCACGTGCCAGGGCCCCACCTGTCCCCTGGTTCCCCACCGTTTACCAATTTTTTTTTTCTTTATTGATTTTAATTTCCAATTTCTAATTTCCACTCCCTTGCAATTTGAACTATTAATCTTAGGGTTTGAGCTATTATTTTAGTCTTTGTGTCATAAAAGGTTAAATTTTTCTAAAATATTCGTTTTGATCTGTGTATTATAAGTATAACATAAATTCTAAACATAATAAAAACTTTTTAATACAAAGCTAGAATTACATTTTAAAAATTATATTAAATGTAGTGTCGTATTGAAATTTTGATAGAAGAAAATAATATTAAAAATAATCTAAATATAAAGACTAAAATGAATCAAAGTTATATTATAGTACAAAAATCAACCAAATTAAAACTTTAACATTAAAAAAATCAATTTAGTTCCTCACCTTTTAATGTCTTCAATTTAGTCTGTCACATGGATGAATATTAAAATTGAGTAATGATAAACTTACATTATATAATATTTAGGAAATTAAGAAGAATTGAGAAGAAAAAATGTCATCAGTAAATTTCTACCAATTTTTTGAAAAAATCAGAAATTTTCCTCTCTTTCCTCCTCTACATTTCCATCCCTTCATCAACATTTCCATCCATTCATCAACGCGAATTAAATTTATCATTAGTCAATTTTAACATTTATCATTAATGAATTACTAAATTAAAAAATATTAAAGGACTAAATTAAAACTTTTTAAATAATAGAGACTAACTTGAAAAAAATATCCTATCATTATAGACTGAAACATATATTTAATCCATTACTTTCTATTAAATTTTCCTTCTATCGAATATAGTTTCCATCACTCAAATTTTAGTTAAATTATAAATTTAATCTCTAAAGTTATACGGTAATTTCCCTTCTATCAAATATAGTTCCATCACTAAAATTTTAGTTAAATTATAAATTTATTCTATAAATTTATACGGTTATATTTATTTATAGGAAAATTTTTTGATTTCTCAATCATTATTTTAACAAGCATTATTTTTCATTATTTTAACATATCAAGAAAATTTATTTAGATTCGTATTCTCGAGCTAGTCTTATTCAATTTTATGGTTATTTTTCAAAAAGTTATTTAAGGATACAATTACTATCATAGGTGGTTTATTTTTATTTTTTCTTTTTTCAAATTGATTTTATAAATAGTTTGGAAATAATATATTTTGTAAAACAATTCTTATATTTCATTTTAATTGATTTTATGAATAACTTATTTTTTTAAACAATTCTTTTTGTTTTCCCCAAATGAAATGATAAATTTTTAAATAATAATGCAAAGCTTACAACAATCTTAACAAGCCACTCTATTAAAAAGTAGTTAAAAAAATGAAATTGTTTTTTTTTTTTAAAGGGTATTAACTTCTGATTTTTCTAAAGGCCAGCTGTTTGAATGAATATCTTTTGGACATGTAGCTTTAATATTATTATAATTATTAAAACAAGGCTCGAACCATTTTTGTCTAGAAAATAGTAGGCAGCATAAAGGAATAGAATAAAGCAAAGATAAATAAAGTGCCAAGAATTAAAATAACCTTTTTACTTGTAAAAAGATAACATCTTCTATTTAGACCTTAATTATTATGTATATTAAGGGCTAATACCTTTTTTAACTTTGTAATAATGTTAGATTATTAATATAATTAAGATTAGTTAGCCTTTGCAAGGAAAAAAATAATGATAAGATTAATTAGATTGGGAAATGTGTGTACTCAAGAAAAGTGTGGTAGATTATATTTACACATAAATTTACAGCAGGTCGAAGTTGTAATATGAAATTATTTATTCTTAATTTATCTTTTCAAAAATTAAATTGATTCATCCATATTTTAAATGTCAATGTCAATAGAAATTTTTCGAAGTCTCCCTTTTATGGAGACGTTGGGAAAATATTGATATAATCTGTCAAAGTAGATAGATGTTTTTAAAAAAATTTATAAAAATAAAAAGTTTGTAACAAATATTTAAATGGATAAATAAGCCTTAAATAAGTTATAAATCATTAATATTAATATTAGGTTCATATTAATAATATTTTATTAATTTTTTAATATTTTATCGTTCTTTTTTGGATACTGTGAATTGAAATGTTGACAAACATCAAAATTTTATACTTTGGTTCACTATCTTTTTTAGTACCATAAATGTGGATTCAAACTCATGATCTTTTGGTGAAAGACATATGTCAATAACCGTTGAGACGTTGACAAAAAAAAAAAGACATATTTAAACCACATGTTAAGTTCGAAAAAAGATATCCTAAGATTTCTTTTGAATTATATTAAAAAATCTAAGAGCATGCATTATAATGTGCATTTATAAAAGTTTAGAGATAAAAACATAAAATTAAGAAGCCCAATGATGAAAATTAAGTAAAAAGAAAACTCTAGGAACAAAAAAATTACCCAAAAAAGAAAAGAAACAAGTTACTATATATTTATAAGATTAAATTGATGTAATTATTTGGAAGAATGTGAAATTTTCACATGAACCTAATTTAACGATTCTTGCTTCATATGATGATATATACTATTTTTGTAGTATAATATGTGGGATGAGGAATTCAAACTCACAGTCTAGGTAGAAATAAATGTCTTGACCAGATTACAAATCTGAATAATTCAAAATGAAATAACGAAATACTTTTTTTTCTTAATTTGAAAAGAAATCTAAGATTTTGGATATTATAGGTATGGAAAAAAGTTGAAGTGAAATGATTTACCATCATACTAATTAAGACCAAAAGCCCATAAAAAAGAAGACAAACTCCAATTATAAACAATAATATACACAAAACTTAATTATTAGAGAAAAGGATTGCAATAAGAACCACACCAATTTTATTACATGCTCCACCTATTCCAATCTTTTGACCATTTGGACTTTCTATTTCAAGAATTTGCATTTTTCAAATTCTTTCCTTATAAATAATATTTGTTTCTGTTCAAATTCGTAGTAAAAACTGTGAGATTTATTATTATTTTTTTCCTTCAAGTTCAACAACATTTGCATTYCAAGAATTTAAATAAAAAAAATAAATGATACATAATTTTAAAAGAAAATCTTATTTTATTTATTAAGAACTAACAAAACTATAGATTTATTGTAAAAATTATTTTCAAAACTTAGTACTTACAATATATGGATGTGATATTCGAATTCATGACCTTTTAGTTGAAGATAAATGTTTTAATCAGTTGAGTTATGTTTCAAGTTTAACAAAAAAAAAAAAAACTACTTGTAAAAAATAATGTATTGGGTAGAAAAAAAATTATATCTAAATGTATTTTCATACCCATTTTTTCAATAAGATTATAATAGAAAAATATTTAAAACGACTTTCAAACAAACTATTAAGTAAAATAATTCCTACTACCACTTTTTTTAAATTAATTTTAAAGCAATTTCCTGCTACCATTCTAAAAAGTCTTCTGGAACATCTAACAATATTCAATTTAATTTAAAAATACTAGTTTCACGCTTTTTTTCCTTTGTATAATTATTCAAAATAGCTATTTTTTTAGTCAAGCTCCCGACCTTAGCATATTTCTCAAGAATAGCTTTTCTTATCGAATAATCGTTTGAGTTCGTTAAATTAGATACTATTTTAATATTCATAGAGTTTTATTTCAACGTCAACGACAATGAAAGAAGTAAAATGTATATTTATAAGTCTAATTAAGTTCCTGTGTTTGATCTTAACAAATATTGTATTTAATATGTCATTGAATTTTTAATACTATATTTAATAGGTAATTGTGTCTATTTATTAGATACAAAACTGAAATCTAAGGAATCTATGAGACATTCTAAAAGTTTTTTTTAGTGCAGATGTTTTGTGGGTGTGATAACGATGCCATTAGATGGGCCGCCCAAAATTAACATTTCAATAAAAAAATCCACGGGATCAGGGCGAAACGAAAAAGGTAGACTGAAGTGGAGGATCTTTTGTAACACAAGGGGGAAACCAAGTGCTGGTGTCAAAGAAGAAAACATGGGGATGGTTGGTGTCAAAGAAGAAAACATGGGGATGAAGGATCGAACTCACAGTCTCTTTGTTTGAGATATATGTCAATTACTGATAGAGCTATGCTCGACGAGATTCTAAAAGTTTATATACCTGTAATTGAAAGTTTATAAATTTTTTTATAAAGTTTAGTTGAGGAAGGTTTATCTTAATCCTTGTTCTAACTTTGATATTAGCAATAAAAGTGAGAAGTGTTTTTGTATAATTTAATGGGTTTTCTTAGAATAGAGGAATATGATTGTTGTCGGGAAAAAGTGGAAGCATGAATTACAGGGATGAGTGGTATGCGCACCACCAGACATCCGGACCCCATCACTTCCATTTCTCCTTTTTCCTGTCATTCTCTTCTTCAATACCCCCTTCAATCCCCTTCTTTCATTCCCCAATCTGTATTCTGCAATCCCCTCCTCCTTCTTCTTCTTCTAATTCCAAATCCCTCTTCCCTGTTTCCGCATGGCATGTACTTTGGGTCTTTTTGACGCTGGTGGGTCTGTTTCTGGGTCCGCCATTAGCG